GAAACTCTGGTAGATATTCTTAATTGTCTTTGTGCTTGTTGATTGTCTTTGTTTTCAATTAGTGATTTGATCATTCCCTAATAGCGAAGGAATTTTATGTCACTATTAATTATAGACATCTAATAGATTTATATTCTCGTTAGATATGCGTATGCTTTATTACTTTGAACTTTACATTACTATTTAATATTAGTGTATATATCCATGTACGAGAAAATTAAATCAAAATATTTTTAATTACGGTGGATAAAAGAATGTTCTAAATTTCATCACAAACTTTTGTCAATAGTTTTTTTTCATTGTGGTAATATCAATTTACAAGTTGCTATTTACTTAAACTAAAATTACGAATATACCTTAAATTAAAATTACGAATATACCTTTTTGTTACTTAACCATATCTATGCATTACAATATTCGAGAAGATACGTAGACGTATTATTGAGCGAATAAAATAATGCTATCTATCTTTTAAATCCAACTTTTGATGACTATAAGAAAGGCCATATCCCCCATTTGGTTTCAAGCAAGTAATAACTCTTCATGGTTAACCAAACATCTCGTATTTAGAGAGAAAAAGAAAACACTCTATCTCTCTATAACAATCTATATAGAATCACATACAAACATATAAGTGTACGTATATCTCTCAAACACAAGGAAGAAAATGAAGGGAGGAGAAAAACAAAGTGGAAAAGTGGACAAATTGAAGCCAATATTAGCGATCATATCTCTCCAATTCGGATATGCAGGCATGTACATCATTACTATGGTCTCCTTCAAGCATGGCATGAACCATTGGATCCTTGCTACCTACCGTCATGTCGTAGCCACCATTGTCATCGCTCCTTTTGCTCTCATTCTCGAGAGGTATGTACACATCATCATGTTGTGTATGCATATGGCTATATATGAATGCAAGTGTCTCTATATTAAAATTATGATTCATATATTTAATATTTGCACTTTTCAGGAAAATAAGGCCTAAGATGACATGGCCATTGTTCCTTAGGATTCTTGCCCTCGGATTCCTAGAGTAAGCTATACATGCAGAAACCTTAATATTCCCTTTTCACGTC